ATACTTCAAACTCTTGTGATCAGTGAAGATGGTGCATCGAAATCCATAAAAATAATGCCTCCAAATTTTACAGGAAAACACCACCCCTTAATTCCAAGTCATGAGTGGGGTAATTCGCCTCATGAGGCTTCAGCTATCTTGAGGTGTAAGTAATCATATGCCCCTCTTTGCATCAGAACAACCTCGAAACCCGAAATAGAAGTGTCACAATACACCACAAAATCATCCAATTCCTTGGATAGCGCAAGAATTGGGGCGTCACATTATTTATGTCTCAAAGTATTGATTGTCAATTGCTGATGTGGACCCCACCGAAAGATCACACTCTTCTTGTTCAAGCGGATCAAAGGTACAACAATCTTGGAAAAATCCTGGATAAATCTCCGATAATACCCCACTAAACCCAAGAAACTACAGATCTCAGATGAGTTCTTCGGAACCTCCCAATGCATTACCACCTAACTCTTGGCCAAATCTACCAATATTCCCTCTTAGTTGATGATGTGCCCCTGAAACTACACCTCATGGAACCAGAACTCGCATTTGGAGAATTTGGAATGTAGCCTCTCCCTCCTCAGGGTCTCCAACACCTCCGTCAAATGATGCTCATGCTGCTCCTTGGTATTAGAATAGACCAAGATATCATCAATGAAAATGATCACAGACTGATCCAGCATTGGCATGCAAACCCGGTTTATGCGATCCATGAATGCTGCTGGAGCATTGGTGAGCCTAAATGGCATCACCACAAACTCGTAGTGACCATAACGATTTATGAAATCCTTCTTTGGTATACCCTCATCCCTAATCCTCATCTGATGATACCGCGACCAAATATTAATCTTGGAAAACCAAAATGCACCCTGAAGCTGATTAAATAAGTCATCAATCCTCGTAAGCGGATAACGGTTCTTCACCGTTAGCTTGTTCATGTCACACCCCTGAACCAGACGGTGGAAACGTCTGAGGGCTCGTGTGACTTAAATTGAATATCATCACAATGAATATACATGAATCATAACATAAACATCACCATGCATCAATATATTACAACTGGAATTGTTCACATCAAGTACATTGTTTTAACATTACATATCCATACATCAATTGTTTGGTACATTTCATAAGCAAAACACCCTAACATACTTGGTACTTATTCTTTGGCTTACCTATTACCTGAGAATACAAGTTATTTTGAAAAACGGTCAACATATGAAATGTTGGTGAGTTCATAAGTATGTTGTGTTAAAATGATTTGTGTAGTTTGTAAAACCTAGAAAATCTGATATTTTCTGAAAATACCATTGTTTATAAAAAAAAAAGTGTGAAGATTCGTACAATATGCATGATGATTTCAAAACATGTATAATTGAAGAACTTAGTATTAAACGTACAAGTGAAAATGTTGAACTTCCTTGGAAAACCCGATGTTTTCCAAATACATAAAATACAGTGATTTCTCAGATTGTTATAGTGCCATAATAGAAGATTTTGATTACTCTTCCTTGATTACTCGGGTGGTGTTGGATTAATTAAGGTTTGTGAGTTGTTATAATCATGCATTAGTAATGACTAGTTATAACTACAATTTACGAATGATCCTTAGAGGCGTCGCCCGTCATAACTCACTTAATCCAACCACCTTGATTACTCTCGATTATCAACCTGAATCTGTTTACATTGATTACTCATAAGCCTAGCAAACGAGGAAAAGAGGAGTACAAATCCTGCTACTTCCGGGAGTTTACTTTAGGCCGTTGGGGATGCGAAAGACTCATTGGTCCATCTCGCATTTGATTACTTTGACCTTACTGGCAATACTATTGGATCACTAAGGCCCAAAAGCACTTGAGAGCCATTGAAGGTCCCTTTATATGAAATTGGGTCATAGAAGGCCCAATAACATATAAGCATTATCCCTTAGGCCCAAAGATCATGTTAATGGACTTGCAAGGTCCAACAAGCATAATTTGAAACTTTCAAGCCCAAGTGTCGAATGTTTACTTGTCATAGGTATCGCATATATACTGGAGAGTTCGATTTAACGATTGTTGTTTTGTATCAACTCGAGACTGATCGATTTGTTTGTAACGATATTTGGAGTTATACATGTATTTGTCTTTTGATTTTTGTAAACCGTAGATTAGTATTTTTGACTCAATATTCTATAAATAACATAATTGGTTTAAAAACAGTGGTTTGACCTTTTCAGTCCCTTTTCTTTTGTAAAATAACAAATTTATCCTTTAATATAAAAGAAAAGTCATTTTAGGTCCTTAAAACATCTTCTTGACACTTTTGCATCATAGATTTGTTGAAATGATATTTTTAACTAGAAACTTATTTTGTTAACAGTTTCAGCCCTTCCAGAATGATATTTTCCGGTTAAAGTCCAACTTTTTGCAATTTTTACACTTTTAGCCCAAAATCCAAAAACTTTACATTTCCGATCATTTTTGGAAATAAAAAGCATTTTCAATCCTTAAAATAGCTTTGTTACACTTTTTCCCCCTGTTTTGAAGAAATTATCATTTCAGCCCCCTTCAAATGTCATGCTTTGCAATTTTGGGCTTGTTGGGCCGAAAAGCCCAAAATTAGCCCATTTAGCTAAAGATTTACATTTCAAGTCCTTTGAAAATTTTAATGTTCATAAAAAAAATTATTTCAACTGTTTTGACTCTTTAACCCTTAAGAAACTATGATTTGGTACCCTTTAACCCAAATTTTGTATTTTTGACAATTTAAGCCCAAAAATGGGTTTTGTGGTGAATTATGTTTATCACAATCTTATAAGTTATTATTCTTGACTAGTTTAGTGTAAGATAAATTAGATCATGTTTGATTTCTTTCTTATGTTACAGGTCTCGAGATTTCACCCCTTTTTTATTACATGTTCATCACAAAACACATAAAATCATACATACATGCATAAAATCACACATAGCATACACATACACATAGATCTACACATTTTCTTGTATTCTCCCCCATAAAACATATGAAAACCGAAAAGAGAGGGGTATGAAACTCACCTTGAGTTGTGGGTTCGGTTTTGAAGGAAGAAATGAAGAAAGTTTCGATCCTAGCAAATCTTCTTGGAAGATCTCGAACTTAGAGGCTTCTAAGAGAGTGATCATGAGTTTGAATAGATTAGGAAGAGATTTTGATAAAACAAAGAATCTAGATCATAGATCCAAGCATGATCTTACCTTAGATGATGAATTTGTGGGATAATCTCTTTGAAAAGCTTCCTAAATCTCGAAAACTTAATGAAGAATGGAGAGAGTTTCTTTGAGAGTGTTTAAGTGAGATGTGTGTGTGTTTCTTTGTGGTTCTTGGCCGAAGATAGAAAAGAGAGAGGAAGAGAGAGTGTTGAAGTGATGTGTGCATGGAAACATGGGATGAATGCATGGAAGACCAACATGTAAAAATGAGGTGGCATGGAAAGTCAACTCCTCTTTCTTCATGCTTTGAGGTTAGGCCAAGAATTAGAGAAAGAGAAGGAAATTTTGGGCCTTTGGTGTTTAATCCATATTATGGCCCAATTAGATGATTCTTGGCCCAAAATAAACCAAGAAATGATTTTTATGGCATATTAGGGCTAATTAGGTTAGTTATGGCCCAATAAGGTCCATTAAGGTATTTTATCTCATTCTAGGCCCAATATGGCCCAAAATATTAAAATATATGGAAGTGGATCCAATTAGAGCCCATTTAAGAGTTCTAAGCCCAAGATAGTCAAATTGGAAGCTTATTGGCCCATTGGGCCCAATAAGGAAATCCTAGTCCAAAATGGACTTAAACCGGGATTTCTAGGGTTTCCAATTATTTGTTGACTATTTGCAGTACTTGTATGAAGTGTTTGATTGAAGTTTTGTTGTTATTGCATAAGTATCATACATGCTTTCACATTGTTGGTTCACATTTGATATAATTGTTATTGCATAAGCATCATACATAATTAAATATTTTCGTTTTTTTATTTTTTATCTAAAAATATTTTAAGCGTAAAAATATCATTTTACAACTTTTTAATTTTTATATGATGTAATTTTTAAATTCGTAAATGATCATAAATCTTAAAATTAAATCATATAAAAATTAAAAAGTCATAAAATGATGTTTTATGCTTAAAATATTTTTAGATAAAAAATAGAAGGCGAAAATATTTAATTTTGTATTGTAATTTAAATATTTTAGATAAAATCTAGACAACAAAAATTATTTATATATTTAAAGAATATATAATAACAATATTGAGAAAAAAGAGAGCCGAAAGTGTAAAAATAAATAAAAATAGACTAAAATTGTAATATTTTAAATGGTCATTGTATAAAATTTTACAAATAACCTTTAAACAAGTTTCACAAAATAGCAGAAATAGTTCTTATGAAAATTCTTAACTTAACGAATTAATCATACAATGTTTTTTCGATAGGAACAATCTCAGAGAAAAAAAATTAAATTTCGTAAGAAACATCTTAACAATAATAATAATAATAACAAAACTGTAAAGTTATTTTTAGTTTAAATGGTGGATGTCATGTAATTTATCTTTAGTTTAAATGGTTGATGTCATGTAATTTATCTTTTTTATCCATCTGATGTCACATGTGAACATATTTCATGCGAGATATCCTTCTAAAATTAAAAGAGAATCAAGTCATTAACTAATCTATCTATTTATATTTCTTAAAAAGAACCAAATTACAAAGATATTCCAAAAACTGGTTTTATATAGTCGTAAATAAGTCATATCCGATACCAAATTATACATAAAGAAACATATTAAATAGCACCATACTTAAACATATATTTAACCATACACTAAAACCCATAAACAACATAAACCCTCTCCATTTTTCATAAACTTTCACCGTAAACACGGAATTAACTTATTTTCACAACTAACCAATAACAAAAACTCATCAACCCATATATTCCCAAATCAGCATTTCCATTTTCCAGTGCAAAAATGACAGAATTTAACCTTTCAATTTTTACTTTTTCTTGTTCCTGAACTTCTCCTTAAGCAACGCAAACTGCTTCTTACATTGGTTAACTGTTTTCCCCGGAACCGCAGCTGCCACCCGTTCCCACCTCTGGTTAATTTCTTTCGGGAAAGTCTTCAAAGCCTGAACCAAAGCCGTTTCCTGGACCGGGGTCCACACATCCTGGTCCGAACCCGACGAACCCGCCTCTTCACTTTGACTCGGCTTGGGTTGACCCGGTTGTGACTCAGTGGGCCCCACGGAAACCGAAACCGAAACCCCGTCGACTTCCTCACGCGTCGTAAGTGGGGACGCAATGGAAACCGCGGGTTTTCTCTTTTCAAGAAAAGAATCAAATGCTTTAGCCGAATCAGGTTTCTGTAAAAGAACCGTTTTTGTTGCTTTCAGTATCTCCTCCACAGACCGCCCGGTACCAATATACTCCGCCACCACCTCCCATCTACGAGACGTCCCTTTTGGGTATTTCACAATCCCCTTCCTCAGCAACTCAATCTCCTCTTTCCCCCATGGTTTCTCTTTCTTTGGGGCAAGACTCCCGTTGACTTTTATTGACCCGTTTTCTTGGCTTTTCTTTACCACACTATCTTTCTCTTTCTCGGATTGTTGGATCCCGACGCTAAGTGCCGACTTTAAAAGCTCCGCTTTTTTATTATTCCCATCTTGCCCTTCAAAATCGTCGCATAATTTTTTTAATTGCAACAAATCAAGTTTCATACATATACTTTCCACATCATCCGAGGAAAGATTAAGGAGATTCTCGGACACAACCGGGGACGAAATCGTCCGAAGACGCGTCCGTTCTTTTCGTAATAATTTCTTTTCTTTTTCTTTTATTTTTTTCTGATTCGACGCAGCCTCGGCCGCTTGTTTATCTTCCTCTTCCTTTTTCTTTCTATTTTCTTCCGCAACCTTTGCAGCTTCCTCTTCTTGTTGTTTCTTCACTATAAACTTGGCTTCCTTTTTCTTTTGTTTTTCCAACTTTAATGTTTCTTTTCGCCTCATGATTCGTGGGTCCCGTTTATACGCGTTATCCACAAGCGATCGAATCCTCGCGTGTTCTTCCTTTCTCGCCTTTTCTGATAACTTTGCGTTTTGTCTTTCCATCCATCTTTTATGATCTCGTGACTCGGCTTGTTCAAGGTCAAACTCTTCATCATGTGGAAACTCCCTCCAACTTTTAAATCCATACCAAAAATCATAAAACGAATCGACTTCTTTAAGCGGCATGGTGTCGTCTCCTAGCGGCGGAATCGGTTGCACCACCGACCACCGCCCGTTTCTCATGAAAGCGGGCCCGAAAACTTTGAAGAAATCGTTAGGTGAGCAGTCTGTAGGGATCTCATCATCAAACTCATCAGTAGAATCATAAATTCTCCTCCTTGTGGAATCAATCAACACTTCATACGCTTCTTGAATTGCTTTAAATCGGTTTTCAATTTCGTCTTTTTTCGCTTGTTTTCCGGCTTCTGTCTCCTCTCCTAGGAGAAGTGCCGCCTGTTTGTCCGGGTGGTGTTTCAAGGCGGTTTCACGGTAGCTTTTTCTGATTTGTTCCTCGGTGGCTAAATACCGTAAATGCCCTAATCCTAATAAAGCATAATGATCTTGTTGGATTACACCATCAGCAGTTTTCTTTTTCCCTTTGCTGCTGCTATATGAATCGGATGATTGCATGTAGTCATGTTCTTTATCTTTTGGGAGAGTTTCATTGTCAGATGTTATATTTTCTTCTTCAAAATAGCCACGAAGTTTGAGTGCAATGTCATGAAAAGAATGGCCAGCTGGTTCGAAGTTTGATGCTTTTATTGGGAGAGAATTTGAGGATATGTAAAGTGGGTCCCCATTTATAAGCTCGTTTGAGTAAGTGATGAGACGAATTGTTGATTTGGGTGTCATGTTTAGGGCAACTCAAACATCCACAGCTTCAAGCTGACATTGAAGTGAAAAGGGTAAAAGATCATGAACACAACAAGATATATAAACAATTTGAAGTTTCATCATGCTTTTGGTAGAAAAATCTTTGAAAAAGTATTGATCTTTATCTTATATACATGAAAAATTGAATAGATTCAAGTCATTCAACCAAGATTATCACAATCATATCACATATCATCGTATATTTTTTAGGATTAAAGAGTTTTGGATGATAGTTTGAATATAGCTCAAAAGGACTAAACAGAAAGGAACCTTTTGTTAATTTACGACAATCGGCAACGATCAGAAAAATTCGGTTACCATAAATATATTCCGACACATACCAACTATTACAACATGCAATTTACATGAAACGACAGTAAATCCAACAGATATTACGTAGTAAGTCGGCTGTGATACATGCCATTAATAGACCTATAAAATTTATGCTTTTCGATGTAAAATAATGCTTCAATTACCTGATGGATGATGAGGGACGGAGTAAAGGCGATGAGGCGGCGCCGAAGAGAGCGAACGATCGATTGATCGATCTGTCAAATTAGAGTTTATAGATGAAGGAGATGATCAAGATTGAGTAAAGATCGAGAAATACCCAAGATTTATGGAGTTTTGATGAAGAGGCGCAGAGAGATTGAAGTGGGGGAATAAGGATTGAAGTGGTTTAGGGTTAACAGGGTTGGGCTGTAAGGGCCTGAAGCTTATTCTAACCTCAGTGCACATTTTCAGTTGTGATACCTGTAACTTGTAAGTTGAAAGTGGAAAGTTAAATATTTGGACCCTCAATTATATTATCTGCCCATTTCGGTCCATCAACAAAGTTTATTATTATTATTATTATTATTATTATTATTATTATTATTTTCTTTTGCCATTTATTGTCGTGCACAGTCAAAACTAAAAGCCATGTTGTAACTAGTTTGGGTACCAAAAGGTTTTTAGTTCATTGGTGTCAGATGTTTTTTTTTTAAGTCGAGAGTTCAAGTGATCTCTCGGAGATATGTGAATTAGATGTACAACCTCAACGTCGGCAGAGCTTCAATATTTCATTTGGGGGGCCAAAAACACAATTTATATAAAAATCGGTGAACAGGGGGGCTGTAGTCAAAATTTTATATTTTTGGACTAAATATGTATAAAGTTAAAGCATAGGGACTATTAATGCCAAAAAAATCAGGGGGGGGGGGGCCACAACCCCCCCTAGCCCTTGAAAAGATCCGCACATGTCAACGCACTCTCTCTACGGTCTCTCCTCTATTGTACCCTTTCACTTCTTTCTACCACATCTCCTTTATTTAGTATTTTCTATTCTCCTGGCAATGCTTGATATGGAACTATTGGGTTCCTTATTTGTTATAACTTATGACAAGTTTGACTTCGTAGTTCCACGGTTTGTGTTTGTAATGTATGTATTTGAATTTCGGAGTTTATAAGAGCTTATCAAGCTCCTCCAAAATTACACGTATCACTGGTATATTGTGATGAGTTTTGAGCATAACAACATTCTTATGTTTTCATGCAACCCTAATTGCTTTGGATATAAGTTTTTCTATAGTTATACATGCAAATAGAAGTTCCAAAGCAATAACCCTAATACTAGCATACAATTTTCGAAATTAATATGAAAACAAGGGTTAGAATGTTACCTTGCTTGCTATCTCGTAATAACAAGTATTCCACGGATGATCTTCACTCTTAAAAGCTTTAGTGTCTCACGTATTGCACCTCTAATGGAATCACAAACACCAATAACAAAGGATGAGTGAGAGAGAGGGTAGAACACTATGAAAATCGGCTAAGATTTCTCTTAGAATGCATAAGCCGAAAATCACATACTAAGGGGATCTTTATATAGTTGAGGTTGATAGGGTTTTCAGATGGAAACCCTGATTTGAGTGCTTAGGCCATAAGCAGTCCATGGACCTCCTTCCTAGAAGCCTTGGACAAAATTCTATAGGGCCTCCTATAGATTTCGTCCACTCCATGTAAAAGAGTCCATTAGCCTAACTTTGTAACTATCATTGATTTGCAAAACCAGTCCTCGTACTTTCAATCAGTTCTATTAATCCCAAAATTAATTCCAAATTAATTTCTGATTAATACTAATTGAATAATATGATTTCTAATTAACATATTATTCTTATAATATATTAATAAATCTTTTATTAACCTCTTTCTCCAAAAGTCATCTTGTCAAGTTGTTATGGTGAAGGCAACCCAAAAGGACCATGTTACTATCAAATCAAGTACATACCAATTATAGTTATGGGCTTAGACACCTAATCCAATAGTCTCTCACTTGGATAAGTCTAATAACTATAACTGCAAATATGACTTCAGAATCTGATTAGCAATCGTAGCTCAACAGTCGTTGTCGAACTCTGTCCTAGTCAATGACGCGCCCTTTAGATAAGAGATCATATAATCCTCTGTTCTACAAAATATCGTGTGGAAAAAGACATGAAATAGAATCATTCTCAATGTCTAACAGTTTGTTTCTCGAGTTCTGATTTGTATGACATAAAACTTAATTGAACACATCAATTTAGTCCTGAACGGGTCTGACACGTAAGTCAACACAAAATCATCGAGGGGCCCAAGATATTTCTTATCTCGTTAGGGCAAAAGGAACAAATAAAAATTGACTTATATGCTTGTACTATTTACTCATCGTACACAACAAATACGTTTTATAACATCAAGTTACTGATGCGTTTACGCATTATCAATGCACAACCAACTCGTAAACAACAACTCATATACCTTGGTTTAAAGATTATACGATATTATCGTCTCACAATTACTCATGATAAATTCCAATAAGTAATTCAAATGAGTGTGGGTTTAATCCAATACTCAAATCCTTTTTCAGGAGTACTCATGAACGTTGCAGCAAACCTTTGCTATGTCTAAGCACTTAGAAAATCTACAAGCCAACTCATGACAGTCTTGCGTCATTACTTACTTCCAAAGTATGATTGACTGTGGATAATTTCGAATAATCCATTTATTCATGAAGTAAAACATGCAAACGTGAAACAATAGTAAAAAATTAACACAAGATAGTAAACATTACTCATAAATAAATCTCTATCACTTAATCATCAATTGTCAATTACAATTATCTATTACAAGTTTCTAAAAAATATCTATCTAATCACTAAAACTAATATCGTCATTCAGACCAATACTCCTCGCACGTTGAACGTGCTTGATCCTACTCAGACCCTTTATGACGGGATCTGCAGGATTCTCTTCTGATGATACCCTCTTGACAACGAGGAGTCCTTCTACCCGATGTATGATAAAGTGGTATTTCTTGTCGATATGCCTGGATCTGCCATGATCCCTTGGTTCCTTGGTTAAGGCAACCACTCCTTCATTATCGCAGAAAATCTCCATGAGCTCATTTATGGCTGGTACAACTCCAAGGTCTCCAATGAAGTTCTTCAACCATATAACATCCTTCAACGCTTCACTCGTGGCTATTACTATGATTCACACATTAAATCAGCTACGGTCTCCTGCTTGGAACTCTTCCAAGTCACTGCTCCTCCATTTAGGGTAAACACCCAGTCGGACTGAGATATGAAGTTATCTCTATCGGTGTGAAATCTGGTGTTGCTATACCCTGTCACTCTCAAGTCATCACTGCCATAAAAGTATAAGGACCCAGTCCTTAGTCCTTCGCAGATACGTAAGAATGTTCTTAACTACTATCCAATGAGCTCTACCTGGGTTTCCTTGATATCGACTTACCATGTTCAACGCAAAAGCCACATCAGGGTGAGTACATGTCATAGCGTACATGATCGAGCCAAGCATATGGTACTCGACTCATTTCCGCTATCTATGCATCAGTACTCAGACTCTGAGTCTTACTCAATTTGGTATTTCTCTGGATAGGTAACTCAACTTTCTTGGAATTCTCCATGCTAAAACGTTTCAGCACCTTGTCCAAGTAAGTACTCTGACTAAGTCCAATTAGTCTTTTACTCCTCTTTCTCAAGATACTTATCCCTAAACTATAAACATCTTCCCCTAGATCCTTCATAGAAAAACACTTCCCAAGCCAAGACTTAACCTCTTATAAGGTTGGAACGTCGTTACCTATGAGCAGTATGTCATCAACATACAAGACTAGAAAGCTAACTATACTCCCATTAGCTTTGACATACACACAAGACTCATCCTCACTTTTAGAGAGTCCAAACTCTTTGACTTTCTCATCAAAGCAAAGATTCCATCTACGAGAATCTTGCTTTAATCCATACATGAATTTCTCAAGATTGCACACTCTATTGAGGTGTTTAGCATCCACAAAACCTTCTAGCTAACACATGTAAACATCTTCAGCTAGCTTCCCATTTAGGAAAGCAGTTTTGACATCCATCTTCCATATTTCATAATCATGAAACGCAACGATGACTAACATAACCCTAATAGATTTGATCTTGGCCACTGGTGAGAAGGTCTCATCATAGTCATCCCCTAGGGTTTGAGTAAAGCCCTTTGCAACCAGTCGTGCCTTGAATGTGTGCACCTTTCCATCCATGTTGGTCTTCTTCTTGAAGATCCATTTGCACTTAACTATCTTTCGACCTAGTATGATGTCAACCAAGTTCCAAACTTGATTGTCATACATGGACTGGATGTCATTGTCCATTGCCTCTTTCCACTTGGCAGAATCAGGGCACGCCATGGCTTCCTTGTAGCTAGAATGCTCATCCAAATTTACCAGT